GAACGCTGTCCCTCGGAGAGGCCGCTGGCCAAGGACAGATTGTTGACATCGTCCTGCTTGAGCAGCTCGATGCTATTGCTGTTGCTGTTGCTGGCGGCGTTGGTGGTGGTGGTGGTGAGCAGTGATTGGGGCAGCGACTGGAGCAGAGTGTTGCTGGCCGAGCAGCCGGAGCTTCCGCTTCCTGTGACCAAGCTGTGTGCCTTGCCGGCTGGCGAGGGAGCTGTGCTCGTTGCCGCAACTGTTGTGGAAGCTGCCACTGCGATTGCTGTGGCTGTGGCTGCTACTGCTGCTGCGGCTGTTGTTGTTGTTGTTGTGGGAGAATTTGTCTCCATTGTTGTTGTTGTTGTTGTTGTTGTGTTTTTAGCGAGGACGAGAAGGGCAACCAAAACAAGGACAAAGAGGCACAAGCACAAAGAACCAAAACTAAATGCATGCAAAATACACACACAAACAACAACTCAAAACGAACTCAAAATCAAATTAGGATGCACTACAAGAAAGCTAAAATCAACTACACTACACTCCAGGATTGAGCAACGTTTCGTAAAGATCGTTGTTTAATTATTTGTTTTGTGTTTTGTTTTGTGTTTTTTTCGATTTCGATCTCGATCTCTGCCATCCGCTCAGCTCGAGGCCAGACGAACTTCTGTTCTCGCAGCGACAACGACGCGCAGCTCGTGGAACCCTTTTTGCTGCATCTTCGAGATGCTTTCGAGCAGAGAGCGAAAGAGAGAAAGAGAAAGAGAGAGAGAGTGTGTGTGTGGAGATGCAGGAAAGAAAAAACATGTACATTGAATCACGCAGCAGACGTCGCTGCCGAAAGGGTTAAACAGCCGAAGAAAAAAACGAATCAACAGAAAAACAACAACAGCAAGCGGCTCAAGCGTTTTGTTATGCGTAGCCGAAGACGAAGACGAAGACGAAGCCCGAAGCTCATAGCCGAAGATCGGCAGACGAAGGCATTTCACTGTAGGCCAATGAGGGTAAGTTTTTCAGCTGCGTGACTCTTATTAGAAAACAGTTAGAGAGATTTTGCCGTTGCTATTTGTGCTAGATAGATGTCTCCGCCTCTTGCCTTGCTCTCACTCTCTCCTAGCTGTCAATTGGGTGCGAAGAGTGCGCGAGTGGGAGAGGAATAGTGAGTGTCAGAGTGAGAGTGGGAAAATACCTCCACAGCTGCGCAGACATTTTGATCAGCTCTTTAATATGCCCAGCACAGCATATGCAAAGGGTATGCAAAAGAGTTTTTTATGATTGTGTGAATCTATAAGGGGCTAGATGCTTATAGAGTAGAGCTGAAATGTACCTATAGAGAAATCGATGTAGCTTTTGCTTGAGAACAGAGATACATAACGATCACTTGATCACTTTCCTCAATTCCCGCCTGAGTACAGCATATCTGCGCGTCGCGCAAACTCATTAAGTAACCATTTTTTTCCGGCTATTTTCCGTTAAAAATCCGAAAGGGTGTCCTTCGCCCCAGCTCAACGCTTCAAATGGATTTTTTCTACATTTGTGTTTTGTTGTTTATGAAATATGACGAACGTATTTTCTTGTATTTTCTTTTTTTGTATATACAAAAACAGTTTACAATAGATTTGTTGCTTTTATATTATTATTTATATCGTATATAAGTATAGTAAGAGGGGAGTGGGGGAATACTTTGTTTGTTCTACGAGGAGGAGAGAAGGGGTGTGTGTGTGTGTGTGATGTTAGTAGATGTGAGTTAGATTACACTAGGATTGGGTTTACGTTAACAGTCGTGGTTAGGTTGCCGGAGACCCATTATTGATTTTGGGGAACCCAAGCCTCAGTCATAGACCATTCCCGAATCAAGGATGAGAGGAAATTGCTACAAGTGCGGGGTTCCAACTTAGCTTTGGCTCGGCCAACTATAAATTATTGACGCTTATTATCTGATTGATCCAGCCTATGAACGAGGAGACCTTCACATAAACACCGGGCACATCCACCCGACCGCAGCCGAAGCCCCAAGAGACGAGGCCGGCTAGCTCGAAGAAGCCATCGTCCTGGCAGACCAACGGGCCACCGCCATCGCCCTGGCAGGCATCGTGTCCCTCCTCGCCGCCGGCACAGAAACTGGAAGCGGGCAGTATGAAGATCTTCTCCGTGACCGCGTTCACCTTCCTTATGCACTCCGTATCGCTGACAATCGGTATCTCCGCCTCGCGCACACGCAACGGAATGGGGCCAGCTGAGAGTGGGTTGGAGATTAGTAAAGACATCTCTATGGGGTCACTTCTGGCACTCACCTTCGCCCATGTAACCATAGCCCGTGACCGTGCAGCGTTTGCCCGCCGTATGACTGACGCCACGCGCCGGCAGGCAAACCAAACAGACGCCATCTCGCAGCTCCGCCTGGCCGTGCAGCTTGAGCAGCGCAATGTCGTTGTCCAGCGTTTGGCTGTTGTGGTTGTGGTGTATATACGTGGTGGCCACGCGCAGCGTCTGGGCGCCCGGACTGCCGTACTTACGTGTCAGATCGTAGTCACCCACGCGCACGTAGATCGCATCGCCGGAGCGAACAATGCTGCGAGAGGAGGCAAAGGGAAAACGAGAGAGTATTAGATAAGCTAACCTGAGATTAAGATTAGGTAAGGTGCACTCACTTGGTAACACAATGCGCCGCAGTCAGCACCCATTGCGTGCCAATGAGCGCTGCACCACACAAATACTGATTGAGCGAATTGATGAGCGCCACCTGCCAGCACCACTCGCCATTTTCGCCATCCTCGCCGCCAACCACACGCGCACGACGTCGACTGCTGTAGTTGGCCGACAGATGTCCGGGACTCGAGTAGCTGTTGTGCTGATAGTATTCCGGATAGACAATGGCGGAGGACGACGACAGCTCTGGCTGATCGTGATAGGAGCGCAGCTGATTGCTCTGAACTCCGCTGCTGCCCACCAGGTCGCCCAGCTTATCATTGTGAATCTGAATGGGCACAATGGCGGAGCCGAGCACCAGGCGTTCGTTTGACTTGTTAATGGTTCCACTGCCGCCAGCATAGGTTGTCGACAGCTGTCTGGCCGTGCGCTGTACGCCGTACTTGGCCCGCGCATAGGACACATAGTTGAGAGCGGGCGAGCTGCGGGAGCGACCCGTACGCAAGGTGCCCTTGACGCCGCAGACGTACTTGGAGTAGACGTGCGGACGTGGCGTGGTTGTCGTGGTGGTTGTTGTGGTTGTCGGCGGCGCGGGCGGAGCAGATGGAGGCAATGCGGGCTGCGGTCCAGGTGCGGGTCCATAATAATCCGCATAGCTCGGCGGTGGCGGCAGTCCCGGCTGATAGACATGCGCGTGGTGTGGAGGAGGTGGTGGACCTTGAGGCGGATTGGGCATGTAGCTGGTGGGTGCGTACGGCGGCGGTGGTGGTGGCTGCTGCATCGGTGGCTGTGGAGCATACGGCGGCGGATAGTTGAAGTAGGAGGTGTCATTGCGCGTCTGGAACTGCTGCTTCTCCAAGATTTTGCTCTTGGGCGCGCAACAGATCTGACCGGAGCGCTTGCATCTAAACAAATCTGTCATCTCGGCGTTTTCTGGAGGAGATTAGCAGAGAAATAAGAGGGAATTTCATTGATTCGAGGTGCAACTACTTACTGAAGCAGGTGAAGCTGAGCAGGCTGACAATGCAGGAGCCGGGGCATTCCTCGCGTGGATCTGGACTGGGCGTATGGGGCAACACGTAGGGTGGTGCTGTGGGTGATGGCGTTGGCGGCGGCGTTGGTGGCGGCAATTTGGGCTTGGGCGCACCAGAACGCGAATTATCACAGCAAACTGAGCCCTTGGAGCAGGTCGTCGGAGTCGTTAACAGCACGGAAGGACGCTCGCAGAAGGCGGCCATAAGCATGAGCAAACAGAAGCCGGGACAACGCTGCACGGCGGGCGGTGCTGGCGGCGGTGGTGGTGGTGCAGGTGAGTTCAGTGTGCTTTCGGCAAAGGATATGAACTGGGAGAGCAAATCTCCGCCAGACTGTGTGGCCGTGGGTGCTGGTGGTGGTGTTGGCGCAGGCTTGGCCGCTGGCTTGGCGGCCGGCTTGTTGGCGATCTTGGTGGCTGGCTTGCTGGGCGACGCTGGCTTAGCAGGCGTCGACTCGGAAGCAGTGCTCGTTATGCAGCAGCTACCCTCACCGGGACAGAAGGCATCGGAGTCGATCTCATCGCAGAAGATGGCAAAGATGCCGTTCATGCACTCGCCCTCGCATTCCTTCAGCACTTGGCCCTGATCCTGGCCAGACTTTAGTTTGTTTTTGTGGCTGTTGTTATTGCTAGAAGTCTGCTCTTCTTCCTCCTCCTCCTCTTCCTCCTCCTCCTCCTCCTGGGCGGCAGCTTCTGTTGTGGTGGTTGTGGTGGTCTTCTTATGCTTGGTGGGTTTGCTCTGCGCGTGGCTGTTGTTATTGCTGTGGGTCTTGGTGCGCGCCGGCTCGGGCGTAGTGGTAGTACTGCTTGTGGTGCTGGTTGTAGTTGTTGTGGTGCTAGTCGTCTTGCTGGTTGTGGGCTTGGGCAGAGTTTGATTGCCCTTCAGATTGCTCATGTGCTCTGTGAAATGAGAGGAATTGAAGCCTAGTTGTTTAGAGGGTTTATTCTCGGTCTTACTGGCTGGTATGTATATGTCCTTGGGCAGCTTGCCATTGGAGTATTCATCCAGGGAGACGCAACACTTGGTGCCCTCCTTGCAGAGACCGCCACTGGTCAAGTAGGCCTCACAGTATTCCGCTATGCGATCCGCCACACAGACGCCCGTGCAGTTCTCTGTGGAAAAAAAAGTGGAACTTAGAGTGGTTTACGGTAGTTTCGAAGTGGCTTCGCATACTATTCTCATCCTCCGTTTTGCTGGCTTCCACCTTATCCTTGGGCTTACTCGTCGTGGACTTTTTGGTGGTAGCAGCGGGTTTCTTGGTGGTTGTGGTGGTGGTGGTTGCAGCTGGACGCTTAGGCTGCGGCTTTGGCTTCGGCTTGGGCGTTGTGGTTGTCGTTGTAGTTGTAGTGCTACGTTTAGTGGTGCTGCTCACAGTCGTGGTGCTGCGTTGTGTGGTGCTGCTGCTGGCAGTGGTTGTCGTGGTTCTAGGAGTGGTCACGGCGGTTACATTTTTGCCTAGTCAAGAAATGGAAATGCTTAGCTGGGTATTAACGATGGGAATCGATCTGTGGCTCACCAGGGGCATTCTCTATGCAGCACTTCATGCTTGGCGAGGGGCAGGGTACGTCGTCGAGCACCTCATAGCAAATGAGCGTGGCCAGTGTATGAACGCAAACACCTGGGCAATCCTTGGCATCCGCTGTGCTGGTGATCGTGTCCAACAGACCGGAGAGGAAGCTGCCCGCCAATGATTCATCCTGGGCACCAACAAAAGGCTTGCTGCCCAATAGCAGCAGACAGAGACTCAGTGTGTAAAGTATTCCTTGGGAAGTTCCCATATTTCTTAAGTTTTTCATTTCACTTTGTTCAATTGTATAAAAGTTAGCTCATCGCGTTGCAAGAATCTGTGAAAGAGAAAGACAGTTAGTGTTGGAAGGGGGCAAGAGTGAGGGAGAGAGAGAGAGAGAAAAAACGAAATTAGCCAAGTGAAAGTTTAGCTTAGTCAGCGCCCCCATCCATGTAACCCCGAAAGGCCTGTGACGTAACAGAGTGCTCAACACTTGAATACCTTGCAGCATCCGAGCTGAGAGATGAGAATCGAGAGAGAGAGAGCTGAGAGCTTTAAGAGAGTACCCCAAAAGATCATTGGCCTAGAAAGCGTTCAGCAAATGCCTCAGTTGTCGCATCACACTGAGCGAAATATTCAGAGCTGGGACCGAGAACGTATGGATTTCTTTTGAATCATCAAAAAGGAATAAATATTTTTTAATCTTAAAAAATTGGTAGTAGGGTAAATTAAAAAATTCAAGTAAGGCTGGGAATTTCTTACATTGTTAAGATTTAAAAAAAACTTTTATTCAAGAAAGTTCCAGAAGGATATACATATATTTCCACATTCTTCCAAATTAATGAATCTCAATTGTAAAGGTCTTTTTTCTTTGAGTGTATTGAGAGCAGTTGCTCTTCTTTAGAGGTTTTATTGTATGGGGGGCATCTGTCAAAAAACCAGTTTAAATGCTTGTTGCCTCGCCTCGTTCTGGTTAATGGACTGAGGAGCTGGTTCTGTGACAGGTGCGTCCATCTAACCGTTGTGTCAAGCGTTCAGCTTATCTGCCGTGCCCCATTTCAATATTACGTATACGTCGTAAAGGGGGATAAGACAACAACAAAAACTAGTGGTAAAGCGAGAACATTTGATATATGGGGCCTAAAAAATGTATTTGGGTTGACAGTTGTATGAAAATGGTTCAAAAGGTAGTTCAAGTAGAGTTAAAACCCGTTTTAACTGTTAAAACCTGTGACAAGTGTGGAAAAAATTGAAGTTAATATGTAATTAGAACTTAGTGAACTAAAACTGAAACTAGGACTAGTTGACGGCTTGAATACTACAATTAAAAGAAAATTAAGGGAATCTTACTGAAAAATCTAGTACTCTTTTCTTCCCAAAGTTTAAGATGAAACGTTTTAGCATTATGAATGAAATAGAAAGTACATTGCCCCAAAAGCAACAAAAAGCCAAAACGAAAACAAATTGAAACCTATCTCAGTTGACAGATCTTTAGCGAAAGTGCTGGCAATAAATTGTATGTAGTATGTAGTTGACTAACACTTGACAATGGCTAAAACGAAGAAAATGGCAGAGCTACATACATGTGAATGTGTATGTAAGTATGTAGCTCAGTGACAATTATGTGCCGGCGACAACTAAAAGCGCGCTGCCCCCTTCTTATCGCCCGCTGCATTTGCCTCACGTGCCGGCTCGCTTTCACGTTCAAACCGGAAATTTTAGACTTAAAGGGCCAAAACTATTTAGAAGAAAACAAAAACAATGAAAAGAGAACTCTCGTTAAGCCAGGCGTGTGACAATCCTCAAGCTGTATACAAAAAGAAAGAACAGCTAGAAAGCTGAAGCGCCTGTTACAAGCGCTAGAACCCAAAAACAAAACTGTGTAGCGGGCACGTCTTTTGGGTCAGCCATCGCCACGCGCTGTCTCTGTCTGGCGCATGGGCACGCCTACGCCATCATGAATACCAAGTCCGGCACCAAATTCGTTTAAGTAGGTCAGCTGCATAAGGTGCGACAACAACAACAACAGCAACAGCAGCAGCAGCATGCTACACCCTGCTCCTCTACACCTCTCGCTCGCACTCGCTCTTTAAGTTTAGCATGCGAATTATGTGTTCTTCACACTTGAGTCGTAAAGAATTTCTTTCATTGAACGACGACAGCCAAAACAAACAGAAACAGAAACACGCATTCAAATGCCGATCGAACGGTTAACAGTAACGGTAAACGACGGCTGGTGGACTCGCTAGCTACACTAAGAGAAAAGATTGATTTTTTTTTTGTTCACTGGAATTAAATCGGAATGCGGCCAAGGTCGAAATTGGAAATTACTAAGTTATGAATTTAATAATAGATTATTAGAGTCACCAAAAACAGTTTACGTTTAGTGAGTAATTATATATATATGTAATATACGGATGTGTTTAATTTGTTCATCAGAACTAAGTCTTTCTTTTCTCCAAGTGTGGCATAGTTGAAATTATTTTTATTTTTTTGGTCAACTGCAAATTGTTTTTGTTTTTGTAAGCTCTGTCTATAAAGTCTTTCATTTTTAGCACTTCCATTAAAGTCCCGAGGCACAGTTACAAACACACACACACACGCGCACGCACACACTCATGCATATCACTCTACCAAAGACAGCGACTGATCCAAAGTCTTTGCCTTTGGGGCGCAATCCGAACAAGTTAAGCGACTTTTTTCTGCCGCTTCTTCGTCTTCCTCAACTTCTTTTGCTCTTTCTGAATTAATGGTAACGGTAAGCACAAGACGACACATAACTGTGCGCTGGATCAGCAGGACAGCGCAAGGCGGCATAGACGTGTCGGGAATGCGGCACAGTTTTCCAATTGCCAATGGCTGCGTATGCAAAGTTCTTTCAATACACACACACACACACAGATACACTTGCTTGAGTAGATCAACTAACCGTTCTTAGTGCCGGGGCAACTGCACCTTGCGAAAGCCAGTAACAAACTGACCAATGCTCAAGGTTCTCGATGCTTGGTAAGCCGCCAAGGCCAGCAGCAGCGGCAGCGACAACAGGCCGGAGAAAGTGAGCAAAAGAAACTTTGTTGAAAGAGCAGCAGTAACAGCAGCAGCAGCAGCAAAGAGCGAGCGTTGCGCTCTCTTCGCCACCTGTTCACGGCGGCAGGCAGAGCGTAGGTCGCTTACAGCTGGTCGCTAGTGAAGGAGAAAAAGGGATCGCTTGACAGCTGTAATAGCTGCAATTATTGGCACTTGAGAAATTTTGCGACCTTCTTTTCGCTTAGGCATTAACCCCGGAGTGTGCCCACTTAGCGGATTATATTGCTGCAATTGTTGTCCCTTTTCAGCGCATCGTTCGCCAGGCTTAGTTATGCAAATCTCGAGTGCACCCTGTGCGAAACCTATGCAAATTTCGCAAGTCAGCAGGGAGTGCCGTGATTACCTGAAGATTCGCATGCAAATGCAAGGCTGGGATAACTCTTGACTGTTTTACTGTTGTCAAACATTGTTGAAATGCAATTATGAGTGCAGAAATCGAATGGTGATGATGGGAAAAAATTGCATAATCGCCTGCTTAAGCCGAACGTCACGTGGCTCGGGCAACATAATCTTAACCTCAAATATGCAAAGCAAGGGATCTCGAAATTTTTACTTTTACTTTGTCTAGCTAATTAGAGCTGGCATAGCTTATGGCCTGTCTAACAAATGTCTAGCAAAAGGACAACCTTAAGGAAGATCTTTTAAGTGAAGCGGCGTCTCGGTCTCTGTGTTTTTTCGGATGTTCCCAGGCTCCAGGCATCCGAAGCATTCTTCACACGAACGAAATTTGAATAAAACGCTGGCTAAAAAAAATTGAAAGTGGTATAAAAAAGTGAAAAAACTTTAGAAAAAAATTGTGGAAAAAAACTTATTTATCATTCTGTGAGCATATTTCGTATACCTGAGATCCTGGCCTCTGGGCCCAAGACAAATAGATAAGGTCTTGTGTTGGTGGTGGTGGTGGTTGAGCAGCCGTGCCCTCTCTCTCTCTCTCTTTCTCGCTTGCTCTCGCTCTCCTGTTTTTCTATCGTCCTGCGTATGCAAATCACGTTGATTCCTTTTCAATCTCAAACAATGGATCGAGGGTCGTCCTTTTCGGCCACACATGTTTTTTCGCGTCTCCTTTTTTCAACATTAATCGTCCTATTTAAAAAAAAATATAGATGATTAAACCCTTTGCGTGTGTACACTTTTTTTTTAGCTGATTTTTCCACTTTTTTATACCGTTTGCGAGTGTTTTTTTTTGCTCATCCCGTTTTTGTCATTTCACTTTTTCGTGGGAACTGCGGATCGGACAGCTATATATGATAATGAAGCATGCAAAGCGGACCTAGAAGAAGATGAAGAAGAAAAAGATGCGATGCATGGGTAGAGTGAAAATCGAGTAATGGGTGCTTGGTACAGTACGAAAGAGTTAGATATAAATAAATATAAGTCATTTAAAAAAAAATTAGATAATTATTTTCTTTTCTTCTCTGTTTTTTGTTTTCCTTTTATATTTCCTATTTTTTTTTCTGATTTTACAATAAAATGTATTTTTATTTAAATATTTTATTTTTAGTTTCTAATTTAAAGATCTTAAAACATCTATTTATGTAGATAATCCATGTTGATTTTTGTTGTGGTTACATCTTTTGTTTTTCAAGACTATCGTCGATTATTACCCTAAGCAATTTATGCATAATCATTTTGCCACCCCTTCTTGCTTCAGTCCTGCTCGTTTTCGCTTTCTGATCTGATTTTAGGGAGAGGCGAGAAAGTTGGACGAAAGGAACTCGATTTGCATATTGAGGATCATGTAAAAAAGGACTGAGGGCTTGTCATGGGAACAAAAGATGAATGCTTTATCAGTGGATAGATACAAATCAATATTTGATGTAATTAATTAATATCATAAAAAAATAGAAAAACAATATTAACATTTATCAATCAATTTCAAGACAATTCAATCAATATCTATGCAAATCAAGCAATTAATTGCAGGGTAACATGTAAGAAAGCCCCAAGAATATAATTTAAATTTAGAATCGTTGCGTTAATAAAAAAACAACTATTATCATATATCAATGTATTTAAAAATAATTCATTTAACATCTATGCTACCAAAGCAATAAATTACAATGTAAAATTTACCAAATAATTAAGAGTATAGTTTGAATTTAGAACTAATAATTAAATCCTGTAGTTTTTGACAGTCAAATTTCATAATGTATTCTCCACAAAAAACACAAATATAAAATCTTCAATGTTTCCCTTGTAGCTTTTGAATGTAACGACTTGGGACTGATGATTAATCGTTTTGACTTGATGTGGCAGCACCATCAAGCAGCGCTGCCAATTGAATGGCAAGAAAGTATCGATGCCGTTGACACAGCATAGAACAATTAAATATCGATATTAATATACGTACGTGTCCAAAATCAGCTGCGTCGCAGCAAACAAACAATGCGGTGAATAAATACCTCGTAACTGGCTACATTAACGAATCAATATACTGACGAAATCAGTGGGAGTAAGTTGGGGAAAACAGCCAACTAGTAGCAGAGCAATTACAACAACAATGACAGCCACACACAAATCGCGGCGCAATGTTTTAGCCAGCAGTGGCCTAGCAATCGCTTTGCTTGTCCTGTTATATTGGACCGATTTTACTGGAGGCTATTTTGCTGCGCTCGATGACGCTGAAACGCACAAGAATTGTTTCTGTGAGGTAAGGCTTACAAGTGAATCATGCAGCACTATATAAGCATACTAAATCTGTATGTACATTCTTCAGCTCGAGGGCTCTATCAACGATTGCAGCTGCGATGTGGACACGGTTGATCATTTCAATAACATGAAAGTCTATCCGCGACTTCAGAGTTTGCTAGTGAAGAACTTCTTTCGATTCTACAAGGTTAATTTGAAGCAGGACTGTCCCTTTTGGCCGGATGACAGTCGCTGTGCCATACGTTTTTGCCAGGTGGAAAACTGCGAGGAGAAAGCCATACCGGAGGGCATAAAGGATCAATCAGAGCATCGTGATAAGGTGGCTTCATTTAAGGTAGGTTTATATATATATGTATATGTATACGTATACATATCAGTGTGGGCCCTTGCGCGTTTCAAGTACTTAGAAACGATTAGTTGTTTCTACAGTGAAAGTTGCCTAAAACGAATGTCTTCTGCTCTTAGTATAGTGAAAGTTGGCCTAAAGCTTTATAGAGAGGGTTCTTGTAGGTAAGTTATCAATGTGTCTACTAAATCTGTTGTATATATTGATAACATATCATATATTGATAATTTTTTATAACCAACTACTGACAAAAGATTAAGTTAAATTATTGTTTATTTATATAATGTTATAGGTAAAATTTAAGTAAATCCATTCAATTTCTATATCTATTTAATTTCTATATGTTTTAATTAAAAGCAGCTGTTGTTCGTCTTAGGAAATTTCACTGTATCGCCCTTTTTGTTATCAACAGAAAGCTTAATTGATTTTCTACAGACCATTTCCTTTAAGTAACAATATTTATTTATTATCTCGCTACTCTTTTGGATGAATTGTCATAAATTCCAATCATTATCTATAAATATATCACTCAATGAATGAACGTGTCTGAAAGATACAGTATATTTATAGTATATACCATCAGTGCTTGACAATTGGCCTGAATATGACGTGGCTTATTGACACAGATGTTAAAAGTTCAATGGGATTCGCCCCCATTGTGAGACCCGCCTACCTTTAAGAGCTCGTCTATGAGATTATTGCATCACTATTTACTCAGCTGTAGAGCTAAGAATATTATCTCATTTGACTTCCTTATTAACTGATCTGTATTTATGTAGTATACCCGTGACGCACAGCTGGAGAAAGGCTGCTCGGATGCGGAGGATTTCGATAGCGCTTTGGGTTTCCTGGACACGAGTATCAGTGATCAGGCTCATAAGGAGTTCGAATTGTGGGCCAAACACGATGAAGCGGAGGAAGATTTTTGCATTGTCGATGATCATGATGTAGATGCACAGTATGTGGATCTATTGTTAAATCCGGAACGTTATACGGGCTATAAGGGCGATTCGGCACATCGCATCTGGAAGAGCATCTATTTGGAGAACTGCTTTGGTGGCAACAACGAGACGGCCAATAAATTTTCAAGTTATATGCCTCACATGGAGTTGCGCGACGTCTGTTTGGAGCAACGGGCCTTCTATCGCATCATCTCCGGATTACACTCAAGCATCAATATACACCTGTGCTCGAAATATTTGTTGTCCGAGACAAAGGATTTTCTAGATCCGCAAGGCATCTGGGGTCCCAATGTGAAGGAGTTCAAGCGTCGCTTCAGTCCAGAAACAACTAACGGTGAGGGCCCACACTGGCTACGCAATTTATATTTCATCTATCTAGTCGAATTGAGAGCTTTGGCAAAGGCCGCACCGTATTTGAGGCGCGAGAACTATTATACGGGCATAGCCGAGGAGGATGAGGAAGTAAAGCTGGCCATGCACGATATGCTGACGGTCATAGAGTAAGTAGAGCTAAGTTCTATTGGAAATATAGAGCAGATATCATATATATTCATCTCATTACAGATCCTTCCAATCCCACTTCAATGAGAATGCCCTGTTCAGCAGCGGCATAGCCTCGATTAAATTCAAAAATGATTACAAAGAGAAATTCCGAAATATCTCGCGTATTATGGATTGTGTTGGCTGTGATAAATGCAAGCTGTGGGGCAAACTGCAGACGCAGGGTCTAGGCACCGCACTCAAGATACTCTACTCGGAAAAACTGAATTTGGCAACGGAAAGCGGGATATGGGATAAGCCGCACATTGAGGCGGATCCTATATTCCGATTATCGCGCACGGAAATTGTAGCGCTCTTCAATGCCTTTGGCAGGTTAGTATATACCTATTGAAAGTGCTTAAGCGGGTTATATCGTTTATGTATCAGTAGTATGTGAATATACTCACGTATACCTAATCCAACTGTAAGCGCTAAATATATTTGTCTCGGAGTTCAGGCCACTCATTTTGTTGCATGTCACTAATTGATGTGTATTTATTCCATTTCAGATTATCCAACAGTATATACGAGATGGAAAACTTCCGACGTGTACTCAGATAGCCAGATGTACAGTGAAACGCCCCTTAAAGCACGGCACGCGTAAAAATTCCCCATGTTTCGAGCCTCTCTTCCTCGTACGAATGCTCAAAGACTTTTAGTTAATTGATGCGCACATCTATTTAGACATAATTTATTGATGGATCTGATTAAGGCCGGTTTCCCTCCAAAATAGTTACGCGCAGCAGTCAGAGGCTAATCACCATGGACAGCTGCATTATTGTATATATATACATTGGGAATGCATTAAAAGTGTATACACGTAGGCTACTTGTACTTTACTACCCCAAACCCCCTATTTCTATGCGCTATACAGGTGTATATTTTTCCTATTGTAAGTTAGAGTATATTAATTTATTGTGTACTATTGCATACATATTTTTAGGAAACAGTGAAAAAATAAAAAAAAATTTCATGTGCAATAATTTTGCTGACTGTTTGAATTCCATCCGTTATTAAAGACCGACAGCGCTTTTAAATGAGGGGCAATTAAAAATAATTGTGGTTGTTAATTAACAATAAACAAAAATTTTATTTGCCGCTCATTCGAAATCCATCGGCATAACTACAGCGTTGCCAATATGCAGTAAGCATGGCAACGCTGTTGGTGGCGGCCATTCGATAACAATAACAATTATTTCTGACATGTTGCATGGCAACATACAACCGTTACGTTAACTGATCAAGCGTTGCCATGCCAACACCAAGCTGGCAGGCTGTCAGCACTTTCAGTGACATTCAATAATAGTAAATACTTGCTCCTTGTAGCAATTGACTTTGCCTTCAAACCAATTGAAAATCTAAACTCGAGTAGTACGGTTTAAGTTATTTAAATAAATAGATATATTTTTGTTCAAAATGGTTGTGCTACATGTGAAACGCGGCGATGATCATGTGTTCCTCTATGAGACAAGTGTGAACACGGACACTGATACCGTTATCCGAGAGTTGGTGTCCGTTTTCAATGGCCGCTTAAAGGTTCAGCGCATTTGCATGGAGATGGAGGAGCTGGCCGAGCATGGTACCATGTTGCCCGAGCAGATGAGACAGCTAAACGATGATCAGATTGAGGAGCTACACCTAAAGGATGAATGGGCCGATAAGTGCATTCCTATGGGCGGGTTTACCTTCAACAAGGATCCGCTTTGCCGGCGCAACGGTCAGCAGCCAAACGAAGCGATGCGCAAAGTGCTGGAAAAAGCTATGGCTGATGCCAAGGCAATGATAGATAAGGTATATTGTTATATTGTTAGTATGGTCTATGTCTGTACCTATTTAACGTTTCCCATTCAACAGAACTTGTGCAAA